GTACATGAACCGGCAGTTTCTAGAGTTGGAAAGAGGAATAAAAAAAGGTATGCTGTCTTTTAAGCACTGTGGAATCCCTACCCAATTCTGTGTTTGCCAACTGCAGCATACACTGCGTTTTATCCAAGAAGAGAATATGAAGACATAGCAAGTAATTTTTTAAGAAATGAAGACCAACTCCATGTTAGAAAATTGCATTTGATTAAAAATAGCTACAGTTCAAAATAGTAACTCTCAGAGAATAGTCCTACTACCCATTTATCTAAACGCTGCTGGCAAGGAGATAAAAGACATGGGAGAGCAAATCCAGAGATGCCGAATCTGAGCAGCATCTCTCTCATCTTTGTATGCATTAACTGCATTTACACATCTAGTCACGCATCCTTTCTCACAGTTCCGGGAAATTTGTTTCTGGAATGAACTGTGACTGCTTCTTTATTCTCAAACTGAAGCTTCACATGCCACTTCTTACTGTGTGTGTATCAGAGTACTGTATCTTTCCTTTTAAGAGAAAAGGCATCCCAAAAAAATGCAATCCAAATAAAAGGCCTTCTGATAAATGCTCAAGAGCTTAAAGAAAAGTGGGCAGACCAAAGTAGAGACTAATCAGCAAACACAACGGCAGTAAGCTCAGTAGGTTTCTCCTCCCTGGACCCCCCTTTATAAAGGCAGCATTCATAAGTACTTCACACCTAGCAAGTGATGTGACAAAGCAAGTAAGGTATTAACCTCACAGTTCAAGAAACTGTGATTACAGAGTTATGAAAGATGACACACCTTATACCTAGACCAAGTCTTTAAATAGTCCCTCACTTTTTCACTGAGAATTCCTTTTTTGCATGTGTAATGACAAAGAATATAATTCAAGATAAAAAAATGCTCTTATTTTTATTCTTAGGTAGGAAAACACTATGCATTTAGTGCAACTCTGTGCCTCTAAGCTTGACAGTGACTTAAACTCTAAATCTGACTATGATTCCAGGTTAAGCTCGTGACTCTTCTCTTCCTATCTAGCCCAGAGTGTTTACCAGTTAGCACAAATAGCATTGCTTTGCCCTTCACAAGAGGAAATTATGTGGTTTCAACTGTTTCCACATTCTTCACCAAAGAATTAAAAAAGAAGTGTCTGTCTTCTCAGAGCCACTCTCCAGCGCAGAAGAAAACACTCAAGTCTGGCAGTAGCAGAGTGAGCTCGTCTATCCTACATAGAGGTTTGAGCTGAGGCATTTTAGCACAGATCTTTCCTGAAGGAGAGGCTACTCTACATTTATACATAATTATTTTAATGAAATCTTAATGAAACCACATTATACCTTTAACAGCTGTGGACAAAAAAGTTCGTATGTTTTCTAAACTACTTTCCCCCCAGATCCTTCTACCTGGTAACAGCATATCAACTAGCAGAATTCCATCTGGTAATACAGCACACTGCACACAATTTACCAGATGCTACTCTTCTGCCAGGCTGCCTGGATGGGTTACTAATGAGAATTCAATAGGATG